CGGGGGCGCGGCCGGCGGGGGCGCGGCGCGCGCCGACCCCGCCGAGCCACTGCGGGAGCGCGGGTCGCCATCCGAGCCCTACGCATTCAGTGGGTACGATCATACAGTAGCAATCCCCATTACCGCGTGTCGATCAGGGTAGCTGCCAGCTTCATGCATCTCTTCGACCACATTTGCTGACTTATTGTTTGACAAAGCATTGTGCTTGCAGTTTGTTGCATATCCAAATATTGTATAAAAGGACAATTCATAATGTTGGCCACACCCGTCGATATCCAATGTAGAATAAAACTTAGTACTAGGTGCGATTAAGATCGATTATTGTCTGTGGGTTCGGAGCTATATAGTGGCTATAATGTTGCCAAAGAAATGATTCCGAGTTAAGCAAATAATTAACCTGTACTCACTCAATTAAAAGTGAAACGTTCCAACAATTATTGTTTACACCCCACTACTTCCACTTGTGTCTCCCAAGAAGGCAGTTCAATTACATTGCAAATCATCTAAACACTAACCTCGGCAAACTCAAACCTTGGATAGATTCACATGCGTGATATACTTGGCAACGAGCTCCTCTACTATATATGATTGTAATAATAAGTTTAAAGAACATCTGTAAACGGATGATATAACAATCGTATACAAGTGAAGGAGACGAGTTGAGGACGTGACGTCCCGTCCAAACCACACACATATTCGACTACAGGCAGATTGCGTACAGCGGTACGGACAAGAAAAGAAGACAAATCACTGTATTAACTAAACATCGCGGGCTACTCGCGTGAAACCAGTAGAGCTTCCCTCAGTATGTTCACGCGAGTTGTAGCTAATGTAGTGTCTCACGATACTTATTGTAAAAACGAGCCACTGTGTTGCACTCAGCGTACGTTCAAATCGGTTTTCAAGAACTTTCACGAACAATCTTCTAGTAACTAATCATTTCTTTAATTTATCGTCCTCCATCTGACACGAGTTCCTCTTTCATTTCTCCCTGTTGAACCATGCACTCGAGTGCGCGCCGGAGGGGACGCCCCGCCACCCTCCAGCCAACTCACCCTCTCTCTATCTCGTTCCTTCCGCCATTCCCTTTCACTCACTCCTTCACGTTTCTTTCCACTTACTTACGAGGTGTACGGTAACTCTTGTTCTAAAGAAAAGCCCTATTTAGCGATATATCACATGTTGCCATAGGGGTGGGCCCAGGCTTCATACACTTGTTTCGCTCTGTCCTTTACAAACAATATGCAGCTTAAGTTACAATACCTACCTACTAAACGCACATTAAATAAACTAAAATAAAAACCATGACAGTAAAAATATAATTAATTATTTATAAGCGACCTCCTACTGAATATATGTACGTGTCTAATATTAGCGTATTATTTCCCATGAATGAGGCAGACATCTGAATCATCTCTGCCAACACTAGCATTATTCAATACTGTAGTTAGTCTCATGTGTCTGTGAGGTAAACAAGAATGAAGTAACGTATCGCGACTGACCGCGGGGCGGGCGGCGCGCGGCGCCAGCAGCGCGGCCACGTCCTGCAGCGGCGACTCCAGCAGGTAGTCCCAGTTGAGCTGGTTCTGGACGCGCATCACCCAGCACACGTCGCCCGTGGGCGAGCGCACGTGCACCTCGGCCCAGTTGGCGCACCAGCACGGACAGGCCCCGGCCGCCGCCAGCTCGCCCACGCGCGACCAGCCCGCCTCGTCGCCGTCCACGTCCTTCGACACGCGCTCGAAGTGCGCCGAGAACTGCTGCAGCACGGCCGCCAGCGGGTCCGCGCTCTTGCTCTCCGACGAGTTTTGGCTGGAAGGGAGACCACCTCTACTGCGCACGCCGGGACATAGTCGCGGGAGATAATTCAATTTTACGGGGAAAATTCAAACTATACCGTGGTCTTATTAGCAAAAGCATTACAAGACAATATCGTATTTGTAATTTCTAGTGTAATCATTAGAAGACATGAATATACGAGATACATTATCATTTATTTTTACATCATCATAATATAATTTATCCGAATAGGTCATAGTAAAATATTAGCAATCATTCAGGAAATATTAAAAGAACCAGTTTTCCCTGTCTCCTCAAATAAGACGTACCGCTCGAGGTCGGCGGGCTGTGCGGGCGGTGCGGGCGGTGCGGGCGGTGCGGGCGGTGCGGGCGGTGCGGGCGGTGCGGGCGGTGCGGGCGGTGCGGGCGGTGCGGGCGGTGCGGGCGGTGCGGGCGGTGCGGGCGGTGCGGGCGCCAGCGGCGGCAGCGGCTCGGCCACGCTGTCGGCGTGCTGGCGGCACAGCGCGGCGCAGCGCTCGCACAGGCCCTGCTTCAGCGAGTTCTGCAGGCAGCCCGACGTCGTGATGGTGACCAGCTTGTGGCCCACCAGCCACGTCATGGCCGGGCCGCCCGC